GTCAAAGTTTCACCCACTTTTCTTCTGGCTTATCTGAGCATATGCTTCTTCTTCGCTCAGCCACCATCTACCTAGACGTACTTGTCACCAACGCTGATATCCCGCAAGAGTAATCTCGGCTTCAGTTTGCTCCACCAATTCGCGCGGGCTTTCGACATCGGCATCAGCTTGAAGGTGGTGATCACGAACGTAGTCTTTCAGGGAACCGAAGTGGCAGACGTTTGACGTCGCGAAGGGCGTAAGGTGCAGGGATTGGGGAATAGCGGTCCAGCCTAGCCTTGCAACCTCCTGGCGAGTGGAAATTGTTACAATCGATTTTCTTTTAATTGAAATTGGAATTGTTGTATCAATAATAAAACTGCTGCTTCTCAGTATGCCGCATGGAGAAGGGCGTTGTCTGAAATTTTCTGAATAATAGTATCGATCTTGTGCAGAGTGTTTGTGCACCTTGAGCAATGCAGAAAGCCTCTATGTTGTTAACTGTGTGCCCATACCCGAGAAAATCCGCGAAGAGTATGGCAGCCAGGGAGGGGGGGGGGGGATAGACTGTACTTTTTGCCGCCGACCAAATTTCTACAGGAAAAATTGTTGCCAGCAAAGCAAAGCGATACCTTACGAAATAAAATGACATGAAGTCCGTGCGCAGGGGCGTCAAGAACCATCCTCTCACCGAAAACCTCTTCCATCGCCGCACTTTCCAATATCATGCACACAACCAAAGCGCTCAGTTATACCGTGCCTTCCAAATAATATCAGGATAGCTGCTGTTGCTAGGAAAGCAACAGCAGCACCGTTCATAAACTATGGGATAGCACAATAGCAACAGCAGTCTTCTTCCACCCTCGGGATCTGCCGGGGCCTCACGTTTAAAGTCGATCTACGGCTGGATTTGCTTTCCTCGCCACTGGAAACAGAACAAAAGAGAGGCCTTGACAGGGCGGCTGAAGCCTTACATGGCAGAATTCGAACTGGTAGGCAGCACTGGGAATGACGTCTTATATGCGGGCCTCCTCGAAGCAATGGCCGCTTATGAAAATCACGCATGCGTTTCGAGTCCCATCTCAACCGTCATCAAACTCTTCGCCCTACTCTAGACATGCTTTAACCCTGGCACATGCGTTGCCTGGTGGGTGCCTTTTGCTGTCTCCTAAAAAGTATGCTGCCTTGAAATTTTCTAATAACTATCCATCAAGCTGCCAATTCTTTCGAAAAAAAACATGATGGTTTTGTCGGCAGGGAAGGGGGCCAATGCAACCTTCCCTCCCCCCCCCCTCCTAAGAATTTCTGAGGATACCAGTCCGGCATATTGCGCAGCCGCCCTCAAATTTTTGGCAGCCTGTGGTACATCTCTTGCACGTGTGTTGACACGAAAAACTTGCCCCTAGCGTTTCTGGTTTCGGATTGGCGCCGGGGTTTCTTACGAGCACTGCAAGACGATCCAACTTATAGATATAGGCTCTATACAGGTAAAGCTGCATACCATTGTCCCAATAATTAACAAGGAGCAGGTCTCTTTATGTTACATGTCTCTGCCCTGCATGGGTTTGCACATATGAGCATACAAAGCTGAAGTAGTTTGATTTTCAGGAACATTTGCCCTTGGACTTGGTGTGGTGTGGTCCATTAACAAGACTTCTTACGAATCGTGAGATCCCGTTAAAGACAATTCATCGTTTATTGTTCCACGAGGCTCTACCTTTCTTAATTTCAAACGACACCGGGTCATACCCAGTTAGTGTACGTTATAAAAACCAGTGAATCAGGGTAAGGGTTAAAATCGTTGGCTATCGTCCTTCTTTATTCATTTGATATACGCTGGTGTACAAATCTGCATCTCAGATCATGAAAAAATCAGGTGGTACAGCAAAATGACATATTTCGTTACCAACATCCAAACAGGGGTAGAAATTCAATCAGTAAGCCAAAACTGCCCTTCGAACGCTTATTAACATGGAAATTTAATCGTACCTGTGATACTTGTCATGTATAATGCAGGAATGTCGATTCAAATCAATTTCTCGGGCCCTGCCAACCCCGATGTTGTATTGGGCCCCCTCAATCTGGTGCTCCTCCCCCTTTACACTACACTCTGGACTGGAAGATTACCAGAGTATAAAAAGATAACCACAGCACAAAATGTATCTTTTTTAGCTTTATTCATTGACCGAGACCCATGGCTTGCTATTTTTCCCTGATCATGCATATAAAATTGACGCCCCTGTCACTATACGACCACCATACAATCTACTTTGTTTTTCACCATTATGTTGCTCAGATGATTAATTTCAAATTTATATAACATTTGTCATGCTCGCGAGTGCAAACAAATGCATAGGAATGAGCATTGCTGGATGACTCAATTCCAGTGTTTTCCTGTTACCGTCCGGGTGCTATCATCAGCAAGCAGACAACATTGACAACAGAGACGATTACATGCCCATATTTCACTGAACTCCTAGGACGGTTGAACCACAATACCATAAAACCCCCGCCATTTGAAGTAAAACTGCTGGCTAAGGTTGATATGGTAATTGGAACCTGTACCCTCTCTCCTCATCGCCTGCATTTGATTCACCACCTCACGCCACACCTATCATTGCCTTCTCATTACATACATCATTGGCTGCCCGATAAATTTCCAGAAACTGAGGCTCATAGAAGCAAAAGTTTAAACTTTGAATAGTTGTTTAAGTACTAACAAAACATTGATGAAATAGTTGCATTTTAAGCAAGGACATAGTTTTGAAGAAAGATTGGATGGAGCAGTGGAAAATTACGCAATCTACCCCGAAAATACGGATGCCTCCAGACTGACACACTTCTTCGCAAACTGAAGGGGGAGGGATAGAGCCCTGAACTGAATAGGAGCCTAGGTACACCCCTGATTTGTAGATCTATGTTGACTGGTAACTACTGTCAATCAGGACAAGAGCAAAAATAGCATACGTTGGCATTTCAATCATCCGCTCCTGTCATTCCCCCTCAAGATAAGGGTCATCAGACTTCAACGTCGAACCCACGTTGTTCTTTTCAGAGGGAGTATACTGGTCTATACTATACTATACTGGTCTATACTATACTATACTGGTCTATACTATACTATACTGGTCGTTTGTGACTGCCACCGTGAGTCAACAGACTTTGCTGTGAATAGAAAACGCGGTGAGAATGATCGCAGATCCATTTCTACCAGGATCGGATCGTCTCGCTGACTTACCCTGAACTATCACTGCCTATCGTCGCTGAGCACACGATGCTGAATCACGGCACCGCAACGAATTACGCTGGACCCAAAAATTAAACCCTAAGCATTTGTTCATGGTCCTGTAATGCGAGTGGCGCTTGCAAAGTTGCAGTGCATTGAAAGTCACCGCCCACCTTAGTCAGTCGCATCGTAACGATGGAAACATGCCCTTGCGGCCTTATGAATCCCCATGTCTAGATTGTTTTCAGCATTTCATGCTGCCCATTTTGGGACACTGAGAGTCGGCTGGTAAAAACAGCGAATCGGCCGACCGGACGCGCCGTGGAAGATATGCTGATTTGCCGCCGATCTGTCACCGAGTCCAGTGATCAGCTAGAAATTATAGGATATTTTTTTCGCCGTTCTAGAATAAAACCTAAAAAAGAAATCATGGTGCCGTAGGGCACGGTAAAGAGTCTTAACAGAAAGACTCGCTGGTGTCGTGTGACGAAATGCATCACCATGGAGGCATAATATCGATGTATGGGTACTTGATGTCGAGTTTTGCAGCGTGCTGTGTTATGTCGTCGTGGCCGTCGCCAAAATGCCCTGTCAATAGCATCTTTGACACCAAGGTTTGCGTGAAAATGTACAATTTTATCGCCGACCGTATCCACCAAGTCGGCATGTTTTACCAGCCCTGACGGCAGCTTACAACGCACGTGTAACGTGCATCTAGCGCACATGTATCTGGCTGTTGCGCCGGATCGACCTGTCCACTCCGCCAACCATATCATAAATTGGCGCTTTCAGAGATCAGCCCCATCTTTGCCGCTGGTGCCGCGTTCACCGTTTTTAACCTCGAAAACAGTTATATTGCATTCGAATCGGTCATGGTTACGCACAGCAGTGCATTTCATGCATCTCGGCATGGCTGTTTGTCGAAGTCACTTCTTCGACATTTATAACAAAAATGAGGGCACGTTACCTGGATCTTGTGACCATGTTTTTGTGCCGCTGCATATGACTGGAAAAACGCTTAGCGGCATGATAGGTTTTACGGGCTTGATGCGCATTACTGTAATGGGGATATTCTCTTTTGGTGCGATTTGTAGAGAATGTGCAAGATATTCGCCTGTTTTTGAATTGTGCTAACACCAAATTTACCCCGAGTTACAGACGTTAGATCTCAGTGAACAACCTAAAAGCATGGGTAGCCGTGTCTCTAAACCGGTGGCCGCTCTGCCCCGGCTAACCGGAGCACGCAGGTCAAAGGTCACGCTGTGCGATGCGCCGCGGGCTGGGAGCTGATTGTCCACCCGTCGGGTGGCCTGCTGCCCGGACTGCATCCGCCGGGGACTTGGCTGCTAAATTTGGTCCGCCGTGGGCATGTGCGACTCACGTGTGGCGTAGTCAATCAATGCACGCAGAAAAAAATCACGACATTGACAAAAAATGCACGGAGATGTTGTTATTTTCATGCTGCACCAAGACCAGACGTCGTCTGGAAAGAGCTTGCAAAAATTACGCACTCGTTTTCAGCTTGAAATAGTCGAAATCCGAACTTAAGTGACGAAAAACGCTTGGGAAGTTCGTGACGTATTGCCGTTCGATGACGTGCGGTGCAAGGAGCTTCGTGTAGCGGTTTAAATCGAAAGGGCAGAAAGGCAAGATCAACATCGCAGCCATCTGGAGCTGTAGTACAAATATGACAGCAAAAATACGTGACTGTAAAAGAAACATAGTGTGACTTAAGGGCACCGGGCAGATTAGTGTTGACAACATGCACATTCCCTAACAGCATTCCCTTCCGCAGGATGCGCACCACGGTGAACTACTTCATCGGTAACCTGGCGGTGGCTGACATCCTCATCGGCGTCTTCTCCATCCCGTTCCAGTTCCAGTCGGCGTTGCTTCAGCGCTGGAACCTGGCGCACTTCATGTGCCCCACATCGGAGTTCTTCGCTACGCTCAGCGTCAGCGTGAGTACGCCCGGGCTTAAAGGGAGCCACCGCCCTGAGTCAAATGGAGTCGCCGCCCTGAGTCAAAGGGAGTCATCGGGCTTAGGAGGCAGCGGGAATCGAACTCCAGACCTGTCGATCTAAAGCTAATCTCTAACTGCTCGCCTGCTTTCGTTCAAGACTAAGTGAGCGCCATCGCTTCGTCGCAGTCAATAGCAGATCTTCTAAAAGCTGTTTACAAACATAACATAGCGGTAGGATAATTTGGTTTACATATTCACACCTTGGCTTAGGGGCCATCGGCCAGGATAGTAATCTAGCTGCATGGGTAGATTGACGGTTAGCGGCACGGAGTACGGTTCCTAGACAGGACGCATTATCACGCCCGACTGACAAAGAAAGGCCAGTTGGCAACCGGCCAAACAAGGTCAACCTGGCTCAGGCCGGCCAAGTCCTAGCATGATGCGGTACTGAATATCTCCTTCAGTCCCGTAAACCCCCCAAAAAACTGAGTCAAAATTATCTGATGAACGGGCTTGGTTCACCTTGGGTGGTGGGTTGAGGATACTCACAACACGTTCTGGTGAGGAAACACTCTTAACCCAAAACTATTAATGCGAAGAAATGGAAGCAAATTATAAAAAAATCCTTATCAGCTTATCCTCAAGCTGCGTTAAAAGTAAACAGCATCGCCAGCACCTTCCGTAGTCAACGTAGCCCCATCTACAGCCAAATGTTACCCGAATAGACAATCTTATAACACAGAGAATGCTCCACATTTGAAAATATTAAAGCCAGCATCAGATGTGGTGAAATGAGCTCGCTTATAAGCACTGATACCCTTCTGAGTGGTTGAGAACCAATTGACGGCTGTTATGTCTAGAAATAGTATTTATGAACGCCAAACATGAACGACTCAACAATCATATGTCTCTTGGCCTTGTTCGACGCATGACCAATGGGATGATGGGATTTCAATGCCGTTATTATGACGTCATAGATTCCTAGTTGACCTTGAAATAATCTGCAAGAAATTGTCAGCACATCGCTGTGGGTGTGTAGCTCAGAAATTAGAGGGGCTTTGGTCCTAAGAAGGGCAGGGCTGCGAACTGCACCAAATGATCTTCAAGATGGCGGCGTTTGCAGTTCAAAACCCCATACAAATGTGGAACACTCCCGTTAGGTGCTTTCGTTTGGATTTCTGCACAATCTGACTACCTTCCTTCCGAAATGAAAATTCGCCGGTGGTTACCCTTAGCAGCTGCACATAGTTGCCACAGCATCTTTTTTGTAGTAGTGTCGGGATTTTTTTCGGGACGATAAACTTTATGTTCTCGCTTCGTTGTAAAAGCAGTACAAATGTTTATAAAGTTGAATTTTATTCCTAGATTGGAAACCATACACTCAATTAAAATAGTTGTACATTTAGAGAGCGGGGTAAACAATTCATCGCATATGATATCCATTATCTTAAGACCAAGGCATCCACCTGGCTCTGTCTGCTCCCCCATGGCTGATTTTCGGGTACGTGGAGGTATTGTGGACGTTATGCTAAAAACAAGCACTGTCCCATGTATCTTAAATTAAAAATGTGTGTGCCTTTCTATATATTTGGCAATTGTACACATCGATTAAGATAAAAGTGTTGGCTGTGGCTACTAAATTCCTAGGGTACGATAAACAAAAATCGAAAGTGAATTGGTGCATTTAACCTCCCATGGTTTGTTTTTTTTTATCTTTCTTTGGGCCGTAACAAACGTAGAGTTCTTTGCCCCGTCACCGCCATGCATAAGCACGGTATCGAAATTGTGTGACATCTGGAGGCATTGCAGAATATTATAGACCGGTTCCACTGACTACTCTCTGAGGCTCGCCAAACCGCTGACTCTGGTCTTTCAAAGCATGGTTTCAAGTGGCGGCGGAGCAGACGCGGCCATTCCATCCCAGCCCATCCATCTTTGAATCAGGGATGGCTCACCGGCTACGGATAGGCCTTCAGCCAATCGATGGGCTGCACTTTGAGTGGCCCCCATGAACCGCCTACCCGTACCAGTTATGCACTCCCCAAGACGGCCTTCCGAGGTCAGAGTGGTGAGTGAGTTTTGGTAAGAAGGTGACCTTGAGGGCTGAGCACTCCTGTTCTCGATTCTTCCTCGAAAAGGCCGCTTTAGATGGTTCGTCAGTGTCCTGACGTTAAACATGGGAGACTTAGACCTGCACTTGAGTGGTTGCAGACGCCTGCATAATATGTCAAAGCTGAACCACGTGAGAGGAAATGCAATATTCAGATACTGCGCGTAGGCGGTCGTCGCATCACAACACTCCCAGCGGTACTGGAGTTGTACCGGAGCCAACTGGTGGGCCACTCCGAGCTATTCTGTTGCCACCAGAATACAGCCGTCTGCCTTAAATGTTTGCCAAGTCGTGGGACAGTGCAAACTCCAACAAAAATGCATTCAGGCTCGAATATATAGCCTTCATCTGGTTATTGTAGTACCTTCCGGCTGCACTAATGAATCCTGCTAAATGAAGTCCGAATTCATGTCGTTAACGAGTGCAGACTGGTTCGTGTATGGGGGAAGCTCTATCGACATGCTCCCCATGTTTCATGCTTCGACGTGCATTGTGCATATCACGGATGACCAAATTTGGTCTTGTTTTTTAAGCAAATAATAGGCATGGCCGTCCCTACTCCATCACGCCCTGAGCACAACAATCTTCCCAAACACATTGGTTTGCCATTAGCACGGCTGAGAATCCGACGCCGTACGGCAGCACCTGACGTGGTTCAGTGTGCCAGAGTAAAAAGCTTCCAGATATAACCACGTTTCATGCATGTTTATGAGGCCGAGTGAAGACCGTGGCGCAATTACGGCGCGTGGCTTACCGCCGCGCACTCTTCTGTTGGCACGGTTCTCGCGCGCACCCGCTATTTATGAAGCAGCACAATTTGGACTAAAACAGCATGGTAATCTGCGGTAGTCTTCGAAACGTGGCTACACTTAGGGAAGTGGTCTCGATGTGCAGTGCCACTTTCGCTGTGAAAGCTGCAGTTATGTCCAGCCGCAGTTAGGGTAATGAACAGTGCATTCCTTTGGCGGCCCTAAATTTTAAAGTAAACAAATGATCTGGCCTCTACAGGAGTGAAGTTCACAGCCCTCAGCCAGTCAACTAATCGGGTTATCGAGTCAGCGATTGTTTGCAGTTAACCCTGCCGCGCGCCGAGCGAGGCAGTCCTGCACATTGTCGCTCAGCGCCACAGGGGCGGATTCAGGTCAATGTGCAGGGACGGCCACTCCGCGCAATGGCGTACCCAGGCCCGTGTGCGGAGTCGGGCGAGCGCAGTTGGACGTCTTTCTCTGGTCTTGGCCACGCAAGACCAGCCAAGTCATGCTCTTTTCCGCATGCTTGGTGTTCTTCATTTCAAAACTAAGCATTGTGTGAAAACGTGATGTGATAAATCTTACCAGTTGGACAGGAGTACAAGATGCTCGCAAAAAGGCCAAGCCACGCTCGTTTATGGAGCCGCATCAGCAGCAGTCAAGCCTCACATATGCGTCACACCAGGGCGTGGCAAACAGCTGTGCAGCTCAGACAACACAGCGGCTTATGCGGCGGCCGGGCTAATCCGTCGTGACAGGCTGGACGCATTCGTCTGTCCATGACATCGGACCCCGTCTTATCGTATAATGTGCTGTCAGCGGGACAAAAACGGAACGAAAAAAGTTCCGGGTGCACTCACACGCACTGCTCAATGAGCAGTAAACCTTAAATATCGTATTACGTAAGTTGTTCATTACATCAGCGGGGAACATTAGTCACATAGATAAGATGGTAGCATTAGTCTTATTCCTCGGAAAAAACAGGAGAATAGAGATGTAGTTAGGTTGATGTTTTGGCAACGTGCCTTTCTCAATGTGCAGAAATATTTACTTCTGCTATTGTTTTGAGAAAGGCATGTTGCCGACATATCCACCTAACGATATCTCTGTTCTCCTGGTTTTTCCTAGGAATAAGGCTATTCCTAGGAAAATCGTCTTATCTTTTAAATATCATACCTGATAAGGGCAAATTGTGGTGCTGCGTCTGGCTACATGCAGCTGGCATTTCTCCAATTTCCGCTCCATATCTCTACGCAAACCTGTCAGGATATTAATCATTTTTCATTTATCCTGTCGTGTTGTACGTGCTTGTGGTGGCTGCAAACGGCACGTACACGCGTGGGCACGACATGGCTCCAAATGGCACGCACACGCATGTGGCCGCGCCACAACAACTCGTGACATATCATTTTCCGACGCAATGACCCGTCTCACCAGTTGAAAAACAATGGTTAGCCCTGGCCGGCAATTTCTATTTGTGCGGCGGTGCTCTCGGATCGATGCGCCCCTGATGGGCTTAATCAAAGGGAATGGAAAAAGGAAGGAAAGGAGATACACCAAACTGATAGAGCGGCGTAGTTATCCAACTTTGCTTGACCGTCCTTAACCTTCACCAGCCATGACTTGACCGGTCCGTGATTTACTAACCCTAGAAAACCAGAGCAGCTATATTTTTTAGCAGGCGAGGTAACAACTACACAGACGTATGAGCCGAGCCGCCATTGAGGGCACGCTGCGTTTCACATCTGGCCGAACTTATAACCTTTCGACCTGTGAGAATGAAGCTATTTACGGCATTCACCAGCCACCCAGATGCACGCTGCCAGCGTGTTCCCAGTGTACAATAGTCACCTACAGGTTATTGTTACCCATGCAGGCCATAATCAGTCGCCGTGATTTATTTCTGTGCATAAATACCTCTTAATTTTAATGATGTCTTGATAATCAGCTGGCCATCGTCCCCGATAGCTCGACATAACGATGCGAAGTCAGCTGTAAAAACGAAGGAAATCTGTTTGGTCATTCAGAGTCACGCAGCAGCAGGCAATGAGTGGCGCTAGATTTTGCCAGAGGGCCGGCGCTGCCACTCTGCCATCTTCACTCGGTGCAGCCATAAATCGGCTCATAGCGAGCGATGATACACAGGGGCGGGAGTTTTCCATGATTCGCGAGTTGTCAGTATCGGTATACAGCAAAAGCCAAACTGTCCGATTGATCTCCAACAAAATCCCGATTGATACGTTGTGGCTAGATGGAGGGGCATGTGGGTACGTGCCTCATTTCAACCCATTTGCGATGTCAGCGGTCGCCTGGAGTCAGATGAGGTGCACGTGTCGATGTTACCGCACAGCCTGATAGAGCAGACTGGACGTGATATTGAGTTTGCGATGGCTGGGCAGAGCAAACGCCAAGTGCTACCCGACAACATCTGTGGTCAGCAGCAGGCGGCCAGGGTACCTGCTCATGCTCAAATGTGATCTTAAAGGGAGTGTCCCACTTTCGGGGCATTTTTTTTAAAACTTAAGTTCAGCCTCAGAAAAAGCTACGCGTGATAATATCACCGAGTAGTGTCACTGCAGCACCGTAGAAATGTGATGCGGATATCAATGTTAATTGGCTTCTAGTCTAAATTACGCTTTCAACGGCTTGTAAGAATACTATGCTACATTCCAGCAGTCGTAGCCGCCGTATGCGCACTAGGGTGCGAAAAAAGCAACATTTGTGATTGGCTCAGCGGGCAAGGGCCTCTTGCCAAGGAGCACAATGGTCGGAGTGTGAACTAGTGCGTCACAAGGACCGTATGATACACCCATTCCCGATGCCAGTTTGCCTCGAAGAGTCGTAGTTCTAAACGCTATGGGGAAGAAATCAAGCCCGTAGTATAACGTTTCATATTTATGTTGATCTATTATTGCTTTAGCTCTTGTTGCCTCAGCGTAAGTGCAAGTAGCTCATGCACTGTTATGTGAATAGCGCATAACTGCCTCATTTGGCATGATTTTCCTTCAAAACTCTGAAAAAAGAGTAACCAGAATACTTCGATGCTTTCCCTGATGTCTTTTCGGCCCACGCGACGCGACCAGCTCCCGCCTCCTCATAAACCGACGACCACTCTCCATCTGAAACTCTGAAACAACCGCCCGTCCAAATGGACAGAGCCGGCGCTGCGCCTGTCGCCAGCTGTCACCGGTCTGGTCTGGTCTGGTCTGGTCTGGTGGGTGGGCCGCCCGGTGACGGCGCATCTGACAACCGAGGAGCAAAGATCTCTCTCCCTCCCCCCTCCCCCCCCCCTCCTGGTGCTAGCTTGTGTTTGAGGGGGCTCTTTTCTAACATTGCGTAAGTGCAAGACGGCCTTCTGGTGATAAACTGTAGGTCCATTCATGTTAATAGCATGGACTTAGAATGAACTTTTTACGTAGCAATGGCATAACCATTCATCCAATCACGAACGTGCCATCCGCAGAAGATATTCAAATAGCCTGAGGAAAATCAATGGGTAGCGTAGGAACGCGCAATTCTATAAAACGATTCATTTTTTAGCTCAGCGATCTGTTTGCCTTCTTTGTATTACTGCTGTGATCTAACTTTTTCAAAAGCCACGTGTCAAGGCCAATATGATGGGACATCGTGGCAGCTATGCTAGAGCCCCAGGCCAAAATGCTCATATTTCGATGATAACGAAGACGATAAACATTATAAGCTGTGTTATGGCGCTTAACCGTCGCGTACGTTGGGGTGGTCTATTCAGGTCGATATAAGTGACTGACAGTGCCGGCATCTGCAGAAGAGTGTAGACTGATATAACGAGTTTGCAAAACTGTGCAGACAGACGAAACGAGTTTGCGGACGTTTGCAGACACACAAGATTGGTGTAGACGGATAATACCAGCGACGACTGTCGATTGGAGTCTCAAAAAGAGTGCGGACGGACGAGACGAGTTTGCAGAAGAGTGCAAGCAGACGAGACGAGTCTGCAGACGAGTGCGGTGGACTAGACGAGTGTAGACGGCGGATACGAGTGTAAACGCTCGATCCGAGCCTCCCGGCGTGTTCAGACAGACGTGAAGAGACGAGTTTCAGACCAATGCAGACGCATAGGCATCGACGTCGATTTCCAAACTCAAGCGAACTAACGGTGACCTCGTTCCAGGTCAGCGTGTTCACCCTGACCGCGATCGCGATGGACCGGTACCAGGCGATCGTCTATCGCCTGATCAACCACCAGTCACGGCAGCGGACCAAGGTGGCCATCGTCACCATCTGGGTGCTCTCTGTCAGCCTGGCGCTGCCGCAGGCGCTCTGGCTCCGAGTGTGCCTCCACTGGGACGACCTCATCAGCGCCTACAAGGTGAGGGCAACACAAGCTTATCAGCCCCAACGACGTGAGGGTAACACGAGCTAATCAGTTCCCACGAGGGGAGGGTGACACAAGCTAATCGGCCCCTACAAGGTAATGGTAACATAAGCTTATCAGCTCTCATGAAGTTAGAGTGGCACGAGCTAATCAGCTCCTACAATGTGAGAGTAACACGAGCTAATCAGCTCCCACTAGGTTACGGTGGGATGGAGCTGGCGGTTGAGCGCGAAATTTGGACGAGATCACTAGGTCTTATAGATGATGTTGGGAAGTAAGCTGAACTCTTGAGCACTACGTCCATGTGTAGAGCTTCTCTCCAGGCACTCAAATCATTGAAGGGCTACTCAAAACCACTGAAATAAGACACTTAAGTGTTGTTTTTTTTGCTCGTTTGCCCTCTGGTCTCCAGCGCATCAAACGGATTTCCGCCCTTAGCCATATTATTGGCGGCGTTTTACATCTTATTTATATACGCATTCGCCTTCCCCGCCGTTGTTTCTAGCCTCCAAGAAACCATCTTAGTAAGAGGGCTTAATGTACATGCCGTGTAAACATAATGTCGTCCTACACTGAGAAGATTTGGCTGCTTCATCGTTAATTCTCAGGAAACGTATCAGAAAAAATCACGGTCTTTCAGACACATTCATCGTCAAATTCTTAACGATGAATGTGTCTGAGTAATATCTGAGTAATACTACTGGCTGCTTACTAATTAGTAAGCAACCAGTAGTACTTCTGAAAGTCGCCCCTTGCGGTGCATCTTTAATGTCATCATCAAACTAACGAGCGTAACATAGCTAGTGATTGCTCGTGTTCTAGGAATTGCTCGTTGAATTAGATGTGGCATGTTCGCATAAATGAGATATGCGCGGGGATAACATAATAATGAAATGACACCGATCTTCGCATAAATCAGCGTACGTTTACTCACATTTGAGCCGCTCGCAAGCATTCTATGCTTAATCTACGCATATTTTGGGGACTGATAACCGTTACAAGACGAGTATCGCACACCGATGCGCTGTACCGTTCATCATGGAGTGACGTGACGTCATGCATTTAAATCACCAACCGTCAGACTTGAGAGACTGCCTTCGACTGGCCCTGCCGAGCATCGACTCAACTGACCCGTGGCCAGGTCACACGGACCGTGACGTCACCACTGACCTCACGAACCCTCGGTGCGGCTTACCAGCGGCCAGGTCACACGGATCGTAACGTCATCACTGACCTCGCCAACCCTCGGTCCGGCTTGCCAGCGGTCAGGTACACGGACCGTGACGTCATCACCGACATCAGCGCCGAGCCCAGGCCATCGACGTCGTGACACTGAATTGACAAGCTCAGAAATGATGAACTGAAGCCGCACGGCCCAGTGCCTCTTGTACCATGGGGATACAGAGATACCGGGACACCCCCATCAAATCAGTGTATACTAGGCCATCACAGCAACGATCCGTTCGAAGACGGGTATTATCGATAGACGTACGGGTAGACGGGGTCATTATCGACCTGAAATAGGCACGGCTGGTGCACTTGAGATCAAACAAACTGCCCCTGAAATGGAGGGACGTGGCTCGTTGTGAACGTTTAAGATTCACCTCAAGGCAGATATGGTAAGATAGCTAGCTATGGTATAGCTGCTAATGGCTATTGGTGTAATATATGGTAATGGAATAGATAATGGTATAGATGACGATATAAACATATCGGATGTTGATGAGTGTAAGAGTACGTTTCAAGGTAGAAGTAGCAGTATGCTGCGTAGCAGCCCATATTTGTTGCGTAGTAGCAACGCAGTAGTAGTATGTAACAGTTACGTATGCAGCGCTCAAAGCAGGGGAACATAATTACATCTTGCACAGATTGGACAGCATGCCGTTGATGTCAGCTGCACCGAGGCACGTCACACATGCACACATGTAAGCACACGCAAGCACGCACGCACGCCCGCACGCACAGGCACGCGGCTTGTGACAGCACAGGCGAGGAGCGCCAGCTGGACGTCACCGTGCTCATGCTACGTCCGACGGCCGGCAGCGAACACTGACGACGCCACGGCGTTAACACGACAGCGGCTATGTGCTGCCAGCGCAGGCTTCTGCTGACCGCCCGGCGGCCCGACGCGAGGCCTGAGCGGTCGTAACTGCTCTCTTTCGTTGGCATCGGCGCACGGACCTGGCCGCACACACGGTCATTGGGGTGCGAGAGAGTGGGAGATGTTAGTAATTATATATCTCTAAATGCGGTGACGGAGATATCTTCCACCACTAATTTAGTAAGCTTGATAACCGCCACTGATCACGTCATCTACAAGTGGAGGCAAATCAAGTTTGGGGCACGTGCACAAAATCAAAAGTTCTCCATGGTTGTGTTGCATCGCTTTGATCAATGTTAATTTTCTAGAAACTTTCCACACATATTTCAAGCACGGAATCAGCCACCAATTCTAATGCATGCAATTTGCGTAGTTAAGCAAACTTTATTTGCACGCTACGTGCAATTTCTATGCTCAGAGTTTGTTTGCCTGCCATACTGATTTTGCTTTGTTTTGTTTTGTTTTTTGACGGTGTCATGTCTGACAAAGATGCAAATGATTGAGAGAACAAGCACCAAAATTGCCGCTGTGCTTTCACCAGCCTCGTTTCTTTTGCAGATGTCCCAGTTAAGCTCGCTGTCGGTTAGTCTTGTGTCATCCTTCGATTTCATCAAATTATTTAAGTTTGGTTCGCTTAAAAGGGAGGCATCTTGCGTCGACAGCGAGGACATAAAACCACGGGGCCTGCACGGCTCAGTGACGAGCAGGTTTATAACGACGCGATGCTCTGGAGCGGACATGTCCGTGTTTTTCATACCTTGTGATCTTTTAGCCTTTGGAACGGTTTTTATTTTTACTTCCCGGTTCTGCACCATACCGCAGCGCTGTAGGGACTCCCTCACGTCATTCCACTTTTTTCTTCAGTGTTGATTGGTTTGATATCGAAGGAACCAGATCTCCGTTTCTTTATGTTCCTTTTACCTCGGGCTTATTCTCATCGGCGTCCTTCCTTTTGTTGTTGATAACGCCTCCACTGCGTGGAATCTGATTTCGACGAAGCTGCCTTATATCCTTCTGGCGAGGAAGTTGGACAGTTAGTTTTTGAGTTTTAAGGGCCTATTAACTGCTTTGGTCACTTCCGTTCATCGCTGAGTCCCAGAATGCCCAGTGGCATTCTGAAATGAGAACTCTATTAAAGAACCACAATTCTTGAGAGTAAATTCACTGATCAGCGCAGATACCGCCGAGGCCGCAGTCAGTCCTTCCAATGGACGGCTTCGCAATACCACCAAAATAGGACGAGCACCGGACAATGCCTTCGACTTCTCGGGCATTGTTGGCAAATATAAAAACGTAAGATGCAGATGCAGCTATCTAAAAAAACAGCCACTGTGCGGAAAACGCACCTTCAAACTTGTCAACATGCAAAACTGCAGCTATTTAAATCTTAAGTCTCCGAACTTTGTCTCACATTGATGAAAGTCGTCGACACTCTGAATCATGCCAACCTTGCAAAAAACATCTTGCAATTGGAAAAGAATAAACATCTAGCAACAGCAATCTGTCGAATGATAACCACGGGCTGGTCTCTTGTGCACAGACGAAATGCCCGACCCAAAACGCCTCTGGACAGTCCTTCGCCACCGAAAGTCCTTCCTCGTGCTTCGCTTCTTTCCGGAAATGACACCAAATAACATAGGCTCCGGTTCCAAATGGTAATGAATGGTTGCCAACTCGCCGAAAATATTATGCAGTGATAAAAGACGCAGTGATCTGTGGAACCGCAATCATAATTTACCGGGCTTTTTACGCCAGACACTACCAGCCTGATTCTGGCCCATCACCCTCGCTTGAATTGCGAACTTTTTGGCTCTCGACTTTCCATATGAAGCAAATGACTGATTGGATGTGTAAGAAAAAGGCCGCTGCCCCGTACCAGCGCAGCGTAGCTGCTTTTAGAAGATCTACTCCGTTGCGACACTGAGGACTGTCTATGGGACCTCGAAGGCTTGTTCTCGACCCGGCCTGGGTGACTTGTTTGGTGACGCTGTAGCCTCGGAGGTCTTTTTCTCAACACGGGCTGGTTCACTGATTCGGCGGCGCTGTGGCTTCGCCACTGATTGCTTGCATTGGACGCGGAGTCATCGGACGTGCGCAGGCGAGCACCTTCCGTCATCGCACCTGTGGCTTCGAAAACATCAGGCGCTTCAGACTGAACCGAGTACACTGAGCACGTGAGACGAGGAGCTCAGCATGACGCGGTCCAAAATTTTGAACTTTGCAGGAGCCGTTCCGCGCGGACGGGCGGCAATGAGGTAGCGTTGCGTTCATTCGACTGCCGCTCCCAGTGGTGGGCCGCACTGTTGTTGGGAAGTTGCTGCTAATGCAGGACGTGTGGAAATGACATGGAGCAACCGGAAGCTATATGCTGTAATGATGCATCCTCCTATCCAAGACACGCTAATACTTAGCTTGGCCCTCTGGGAATGCTTGTCTCGATCTAGTGACACTGAACATCTATGGACGACCCAGCTATGACGCAGCATAATGAGCCAGCATCCAATGTCCACAGCCACAACTCATCGTCCGCGTCGTCGAATTTATGACATGCCAAGCCTGCCGGGTGTTATTTAGCAGAGGTGTTCACCATGGCGTATATCCATCTAAGATAACGGATCTGGGATAGTTCGAAGCCAGCAGCCCTGGCCACTCCGGGTGTATACTGATTTGTGAATTGATGTCAACTGTGAATTGTGAATTGATATGTGAATCGGTGCGTATAGCGCAGCTCAGTCACCTGCTGTTGGCAGAGACCTGCTTTCTAAGGCTTGGAGGGCACAATACCTTGGTTTAGCATCTTACCTTTCACCACACAACCTTTCTTTACACTATAGAAATTTGCGAAATGCTTAATTTAACGCGGAAGTTAAGGAAACCAGCGTAGTATTTTCGC